AAAAAAAAAATCACCTTTGGCCCTTGAAGTCCTTGAGGTCCTGGAGGCCCAGGGGGACCCTATATCAATAAAAGACAACATTGGTAAAAGCGCAGGTACATGTACGAAAATGCACATTTCACGTAAGTATACGATGACCCTCTCTTCTTTCTCTGAGAATCACACTTGCTCCTAACTGATTTCCAGTGGGGAAAATTTTCATAGGTTGCATAAACAAACAAGCAAAACTACTTATATGCTAAAGTACGAACCCATTTTTATCAAAATAGCATGGGGGAACATTTAGACCCACTCTAGACAACAATGTAAAATTGCTCTGTATCCCACATTCGTCTTCTTGGAATACATTCAGCCACAAATACTCTCTATGCTTTTATATGCTTCTGCCTCCAAAGGCTTTGGTTTTCCAAACACTAGAGGACAAAGTTATATTATTAAGATATGACTGCAGGCTTTTAACTTTAACTTTAAAACAATAAACACACACACACATAAAAAACTTTTTTCACTAAGGAAACAGTTTAGAAACTCAACTGGGGCAATGTCAAGAAACATAGAATTAAATATCGAATAAAGACAACTGCTATGTTAGTACTCTCTTATTATTGGCATGCATCAACACCAAAGAGAAGGTCACAGACCACGGAAGTCATGCAAACAGGAGTTACCGTGACAGTTAAGGTGGTAATCCTCTGTTGGGAAAATGTATGAACAAAGACAGAGTTACCTCTTGTGTGGCAAAGGCAGGTAATACAAGTAAGGTAGTACATTTCTGAAACAACTCTAAGAATATGTTTTGGCAAGTCTGATGTCTTAACAAATTCACAAGATATGGAGCAAATACTATCCCATCTTCAAAGGAATACAATCTGATTTTCGATATTAAAAAAAAATATTTTTATCATTTGATTAAAAAAATCTATGGGCAAGGAAAAAATGAAACTGCCAGGTTTTAATTCATTATAACTAAAATAAATTACTTAGTTACAACTTGCAGAACGTAATCAGTGTCACTGAATTGGTCTTTCACTGTGTATCTTCTCAACAAGGTCAAAATAAACAAACATTTAAAAATTAGTAGTAAAATAGTACATGCTAGAGATGTGTCAATTTAATTGTGAACCAAGGAGACATTGATATCCATAAGAAATTTATTGTACAAAGTACTTTGATTAGAGAAAACTGATGTCCAATTGCATAACTAATATACTTTTTTCTTCTTTTAAAGTCTGCAGCTCATTTGTCACACTATAACTTGTTTACTCTGCTGCTATAATTAATGCTATGCATCAAGATGGATTTAATATAGTTTCTTAGTGTAAAATGCTAAGAGTGGGGTAACAAAATACACTCTCTCCACATATGCATCTCTAAACCACGTTATTTCTCACGCATACATTGTGTTTTTGTATTAATATTTGCTAGTTTTCTGATAATTTAATTTTCTTAACTAAATATTTCAAGTAGCTGTTTCCTAGCTCAAACTTTATAAAATTCTTATTACTATAAACCTCTAGGTGAACGATGGGTGATTTTCAGCTTGATCACTATAAGCAGTGCAAGCTGATTCTAGACATCAAAGCCAATTGACATGACACTGTTAACTGGAACAGCCCACAAAGAAAGTTCTGGGTCCTACTTTGGTGAGCAGTGATTGGCATCGTAAGTGCTCGTGAGCAGCCGTCTATAGTACAACTGCTGGTCTCTCCCTGCCCAGAATGAAGGAAATCCTAGATGCACAAAATCAATGAGTCCAGTGGATTAACTAACCCCGAGCACCCAATCCCTCAGGACTTGGAGTGTGGAAGAATTTGATGGGGCCCGCCTTCACCCCTGACCGCTTCGACAGGGTCACGTTAGACGAGCTTGGATGATGTGAGGAGAAAAGATGGAACACAACTCAAAATCTTAAAAAGCGACCGAGCTTCCTGGTTGGGTAGAGACAGCTGTCATTACTGGCTGGCTAGAGACTGAGGGCCACTTAGCTACCCATTCCTCCTGGAACGGAATTCACCTTCACAGCTGAGAAATGGACAGGCATGCAAGGGGCACAGCGTCACTGCTTCCATTATTGCGGTGTAAGCGTAATTTTAAAAGGATTCATTTTGCTTCACTTCACTTATTCTCTAGTGACATAGGGGCCATCTTTCCTTAGAAAACAATATATTTATGCAAATATACAAACATTTGAAAT